CTTATATAAGGGTAAATCTACACTGCAATCTGGAGGAGTGATTGAAGCACGCATAAACACATCTGAGCTGGCTTTGATCGAGCTAGCCACGTAGCTGTGTCAGCACACGCAGCAGCACAGGCTAACCTGCCGTGTACAGCCTCGCCTAGGAGCCTGGGTGCACGCTCCAGTGGCTAGCCCACGTCACAGCCATGCTGACGCAACTACACTGCTGTTGTTATGCCAGCTAGCTTTCACCGAGCTAGGTAAAAGCTAGCTTGGGTATTTCTACATGTGCTGCAATCACACCTCTCACTGCAGTGTAGATATGCCCTAAATGCCTCGTAGAACTGTCTGATCTCTTTGGCTATTACCACCCAAGCTCTTTTGCAGCATTTCTCCTTCCTCGTACCCTCCCTCCTGCTGTATCTCTCTATTCCGGATCTTTCCCTCACATGGATTTTCTTGTACTTTTCTAAATGGAATCTCAACGTGTTATTTTTCTAAGAATACTTGAAGTCTCTTTGTATTATTTTCTCCAGTGAGGCGGAGTGACCTCCCTCCCCACTTTAGAGTGAGGGACCACTACACTCCCTCTGGTGGGCAGAGCTAAACCTGCCCTGCCCCCGTCGCCGGAATTACCAGGGCAGGACAGGAAGTATAAAGGGAGGGCCTTGCATCTCATTGGAGTGGGAGCCAGGAAAGGAGACAGAAGTCTCCAGCCTGCTGCAGAATTCTGGAGCTGGACCTGCACTAGGCAGCATCCTGTCCCCAAAGGAGACTGACCCTGGAGAGAAATTGCCTGCACTGCCATCGGCCAAGTACCCCAACGAGACCAAGGACCCGGGCACTATGGAACCCCTCACCCAGACGCTGGTAGGAAGTAGACCAAGGAAACTGGACTTTGGTCCCATTACACTGTCAAAACCCGAGTCAACATGTTTTAGCTGAATCCCTGCTGACCCAGTGGCAGAACAGTTCACCACTGTTAGGGCCCCGGGCTGGGACGCAGACGAGTAGGGTGCGCCAAGGTCCCCTCATCCCCTGCTGCCAATCCCATCCCTGGGGTGGCAGCCTCCCCACGTTAGGCCAAGCGGTCTGCTGTTGGCCAGAGCCAGGTCATCAAAACTGTCTGTTTGGTGCTCTGCCGTGCCTGAGGGCCTGAATCCCTAGACTGTTTGGTGCTCCCTGCTCTTCCCCACCCAAAGAGCCAGAGCCCCAGACTGTGTCTTTGCTGCCTACCTTAGCCAAGAGGCTTAGGCAAAGCCTGCTTCCCACTCTGCCCTGCCCAGAGGGCCACAGCTTCCCTTATCAACCATGAACTGCTGGCTGTCCCAGCCAGGATGCTGTGGACTAAAGACTGTTTATACTCCACCACGCCTAGAACTCCAGGGCTCTAGACTCTTGATTGGCGGCAGCTCTGACAGGAGGCTGCGAACTCTAGACTTCTTACAGATCGACGCAGCAAGTGGGAACCGAGCCTGAGTGCTGCTGCCTGACATAGTGAGAGGGTGCGGCCTCCCTCTCCACTTGAGAGCAAGGAACCACTGCATTTCCCCTTTGTATTCTTTCTCTGTCGTCCCCACTAGTTTCAACTCCTCCCAGTGTAGTGTCATCTGCAAGTGTCACTGCTGTGCTGTTCATTTCCATGGCCAGATCATAGCTGAAGATATTAGATATGACAAGACTTAACGTGGTCCCCGGATCCCCCACAAAGCTCTCCCTGACATGTACACCTTGTGCAGGTTACAGGGCTGCTACTAGCAGGCCAGACTTCTGTACCAGACACGCACTGGCTACAGAGCTTTCGTGCAAGAGAGGTACACACCAGATGTTTTCACCGTAAGCTACCATAATACTCCGACAAGTATGGCTGAAGTTAGTTTAAACAAGGTATATTACACACAGTGTCACCTAGTGGCTGAATAGTATAATACAGTTTAGCCTTCCACTACGTCTCCCCCTTTGAGTTCTACATTCCTACCATTTACAACATTTACGTTATCATGGTATCCTTACATTTATATCCTCCTTACGAATATGTATGAACAAAGAATGAAAACACTGTGTGTTGCTTCCAGATGGGGTTTATAGCACAAAGAAATAAGGAAAAGAGTTAAAGTGTTGCTGGGTATGGTGGGAGTTTAATACAGAAGTGTACATTTGAAGATTGCCTCGACCCTTATCTCAAGGCAAGGTCAAGCAACCAGATGGGAGGGGCAAGGGGGGTGGTGGGCAAACATAAGAAACACTCAAAAGCCAGAAAAAAGGTGACCCTGGCTGAAACATAACCTTACTCCTTACCCCAACCATAGGGTACAAAAGAGGTGGTACCAAAGTCCCCATACTACGATCCTCCAAAACGGAACATGACCATAAATTGTAAGGGGTGGGACCAAGGGATATAATTAAACCTGCTAAGAAAAAGAAGGTAGGAAAAAGGACAGGGAAAACTCTGTGGCATACAGAGCTATGGATATGCTTGCCTGATTAACCCCACTAAACATTGCATTGCCTGCACTCGGAGTATGGTCTTCTGCTTTCTGTTTGTGTGATAAGAACCAAGAGAGGGGTGAGGGAAAAAGCCCTAACATCTCTCAGTGGTACTAGTTTTCTAATTACCCAACCCAAACATGTAACAACTTGGTCATCTGGCTTTCCATCAGTAGCAATGACTGCCTGAGGCCTGTTTGGAATCTCTGAGTTTTCTTCCTCTTGTTCTCCATCTGCCATCTGTAGAATTTGCTCTGTTGATTGTTCTTTCTGAGGTACACTGTATGCTCCAGCATTTTATCTTGAGTTTATTTGTACTGGGTCTCCTTTCAAATATCCCTCTTTCAAGTTCTTCCGCTTTTCTCATGAGGCCCATCATGGCTGCCACACTGAGGTGGAGAACGCTGTTGGTCTTTGATTCTTTGATCACATGCACTCTGAATGAGAAGTTTTTCTCTTTGAAAGAGATTTCTGTGGTGAACTGTCCCATGCAATTCAGAATGCCTCCAGTGTTAGTCAGAGCTGTGGCAGGTAACTTCATCTCTGGGAGGGGTTGAAGGTGATTGTAAGGCCCTTCTGAGATGACTGTTACATCTGCTCCTAAGTCCATTTTAAAGTCCATAGTGTTTCTCTGAATGATCAGTTTCACTCTCCAGGCAGGCTCTGTATCTTCACACAGGATAGATCCAAGAAACAATAGCTCTTGATTGTCTGTCTGGAATATGAATCAATTCCCTGACTGCGTTCATGTGGCAAACAACTGCAAAAAGTCCATGTTTCGTGCATTTAATATATCCTGAATGTTTGAGTGGAATTTGTTCCTCTTAGCCAGGGAGTTCTCCCTCTTTACCTCACCAATTTTATGGTATTAACTTGTTTCATTCAGGCTGCGTTTGTTAACAGCTTCTAATCCATTTGAATAGCAGTGTGTAGGGTGAAGTCTGTTTTGAATTGTAGGTCCTGTGAAGGATTTTTATCTGTTAACCCAATAACCAGCCTCTCTCTGATGTTTTCATGTTTGCTGTTCCTGAATCACAGTTTTCAGCCAAGGCATGCAGAGCTCTTATAAACTATTCAGCATTTTCCCCTAGTCCTTAAATTCTCTGGTGAAAACATGCCCTTTCATAAACCACATTTCTCTGAGGGTACAGTAGAACCTCAGAATTACAAACACCTTGGAATGGAGGTTGTTCATAACTCTGAAACATTCATAACTCGGAACAAAATGTTACGGTTGTACTTTCAAAAGTTTACAACTGCACATTGACTTAATACACCTTTGAAACTTTACTATGCAGAAGAAAAATGCTGCTTTTAACCATCTTAATTTAAATGAAACAAACACAGAAACAGTTTCTTTACCTTGTCAAATCTTTTTTCAACCTTTTCCTTTAATTTTTTTAGTTATTTACATTTAAGACACTTCTGTACTGTATTTTCTTTCTTTTTTCTTTCTTTCTTTTTTTTTTTTTTTGGTGTCTGGTGCTGCCTGGTTGCATACGTCCAGTTCCAAATGAGGTGTGTGGTTCACTGGTCAGTTCTGTAACTTTGAGGTTCCAGTGTATAAAGGACGCATCAAACAAAGCCAGAACCCTTTCATAGTCATCTTTGTGCCTGTCTTCAGGAAAATCAAAGGATTGAAAGAAATGCTCTGCTTGCTTCCAAACAGCACAAAGTAATCACCATACCTGTATAGCTTCAGTTTCTTATGGAGTTTTGTAGCAATCTGAAATCTTGCAAAATGCTGCTTCTAGTCTGTCAGTTGTGAAGGTTTGTCAAAGCTGAAGTTCTCTGGTCAACGAAGAGGGAGATGTTGATGAAATCCTGCAACCTGTGTTGCTTTTTTTTCCCCTGTCTGCATCCTTCATTGCTCCTCCTTCTGTCTGCAACTTCTGTTGCTCTCTTCCTTCTGTTTTTCTTCTCCTCTGGCACTGCTTAACTTGGGGCACCATGTCACATACACTTTGGACATGGTAGGTGGCAAGGGCTGCTATAAGCAGGTCAGGCTTCTGTACCAGACATGGACTGGCTACAGAGCTTCCTTTCCGGAGAGATACTCAACAGATGTATTCACAATAAGATCCCTTAATGCTCTGCCAGGCATGGCTGAGGTTAGCGAATGTAAGTTGTTACATGCAACACCACTTCGTGGCTGAACAGTATAATACAATTTAACCTTCCACTACACTGCCAACGCCCCACCCCCCTTAGGCACAGCTCCGCCTGCTATTTCAGAGGCATTTCACACAGTGACACCAAGCAGGACCCACCTCTGCGCTCTGCCCTGGCACTTCGCACCTGCGCCCCCAGGATGATTAAGACCAGGCAGAGCAGGGCTCCCAGGATAATGCAGATGACCACGGGCACCGTGACTCTCCCACTGTCGGTCGGAGGGCGGCGCGGGGGAGCTGGATGGAAATGAACATGGAAGAGGGAGAGATTATCCTGTGAGAGTCCGGGGGGCCCAGGGATCTCCCCAGTCACTCATTGCACGGCCCAGGACAGCAGGGTAAGGGGCTGGGACACAGTCTGTGTGCCATGGGGGCAGCTCACAGGCTGCTGTTTAAATCATGGGCCCTGCCCTGTCAGCTGGAGCCAGCAGACAGGAATCCTCTGGCTCAGCACAGCCTGCAGCTCCCACCCAGGTGTCATTCGCCCCTAGATTTCACAGGCCATGTGTAAGGGGACTGTTGGCTCCTTACTAAAACTCGGTGGGGGTGTTTCAGTTGGCTAGCTCCCAGGACCAGAAGGAAGGGGAAGGATTGATAGGAAAGCAGGACCCTGAGACTGACAGTCCCCAGGAACAATGGGGAGAGGCCAATGCCCCAAGTCAGCCTGACTGACAGGGCGGGCAGGCTAATCAGGGAGTCAGGAGGACAAGGTGGGTCCTGTCCTCCCTGTGAGCTGGATTGCCTGGGTCAGACAGAGTGGGGCCGAGCTACGGAGAGAGCAGGGGCCTGAGCTGAGCTGCGGAGCAGAGCCGCGCCAGATCCAGAGAGAACCAGAGCAGCAGCCCGGGGGAGCAGGTCAGTGCTGGGAGCAGAGTCACAGGAGACCTGTGCTGGGAGCAGAGCTGCAGCAACCAGATCCGGAGGGGCCGGAAAAAGCAGCCCAGGGAGCTGGAGGCAGAGCAGCAGCAGCGCTGAGGCAGAGGGGAGCAGGAGCAGGAGCTGGGGCTGCGGCTGGAGCAGTCTGAAGCCAGGCGCGGTGAGGAGCTGAGGAGAGCGAGGGGGACCATGGGCAGCGGGCCCAGAGCAGGGAGACGCCCCCAGCCAAGAGGCCTGGCAGGCCAGACTTGGAGGGGGATCGTAACCCCGACTGGGCGGGGGCGATGCTGGGAAGAAGGGTCCTGCCACCTTCAGCCTGAAGGTGTGTGACCACCCCCAGAGCAAGTGTCCGACCCGCAGTATCCCTGCAGCACAGCCAGGGCCTGGACAGGAGGCCTGGGACGTGTGAGGAACAGACTGAACTTCCCTTACAGTCCAGAGACGCTGGTTGTGACGTCCCCGTGCCACAGAGCAGGGTGATGTGTTTTCCTTTAACCTTTCCCACTTTTTCCTTATTTTTTTAAATCGATTGCTGTTTAATACACTGTATTTCCTTTGAACTGCATGTAATGATCAGTGGGTCAGGGAAGCATCCAGTGCAGAGAGAGCACCTGGGAGTGGGGACACCTTAGCTCCTGCCCTAAGTGACCACAGCAGGGTTGGGGGTCGACCCCCCAGGAATCCTGGGCCCAGCCTTGTCGGGGTTACAAGGACTCTGCCAGACAGGAGCGTGGAAGGGGAGCCCTTGACGTCAGGCAGGCCTCTGGGTAAAGGAAGGGGGAGCGAGGACTCAGATCCCTTCACTAGCCCATTTCACTGGGTTAGTGTATAAGCCAGGAAAGTTCCCCACAATAGTGGGACCATTCCCCTGCTTACTCATGGCAAGGAGCTCCTGTCCTTAGGCTACAGCTTGCAGCTCATCCTCTGTGACCCAGCACCAGGTAAATTTTAACTCTTGATGGGAGCGGGGGATGTTTTACCTGTTCTACTCAGTGATGCTGTCGTCTCTGTCACACCTGCAAAGGGAAAGGGAGGAGAGTTGGAGTCTGGAGCGAGGGGGAGCTGATGTGTTTGTCACTGGGTAGCGTCCCCCTCAGATCTCCAGACATCACTTCTACAAACTCCCTCAGAGCAGCACAGGGTCTGTATGTTAGTGATTTAGGGCCCACGTCCCCCTATGCTGACTAGTAACAAACCAGCACACTGGGGTCTGTGATGGACGCAGGGGTTATGTGGGCTGATGTCTGAGCCAATATGGCCCCACAAAGCTTCCACCCCACAGCATCCATGATGCTTCTGCACACAGGAGATGGGAGGGCCTGGCCTGTGACCAAGGGCGGGTGGGCAATTGGACCCATCCTCCTTCCAGAAAATTACAGCATGTAGCAGAAACATCTCCTGTCACTCACCTGAGCAATTCACTGCAACATCTTCCTTGTGACCACAGTTGCTCTCACCCCAGGGCTTAGCAGGACAGTCCCAGAGAGATGACTCTGTCCCTCTGCAATTCAACGTTTCTACCCAGATGGGACCAGTCCCCTCACCGAATGCAGCCTCGCCTGGGACTGGTACAGCAGATCCACAGCCCAGTTGTTTACACACAACGTTAGCATCCGCCATATCCCAGGAGTCATCACAAACTGTTCCCCAGAAGCCACGGTACCAAACCTCCACTCTCCCCGAGCATCTGTCCTCTCCTCCCACGACACGTAACTTCTCCTGATCTGGAAATGCAGAAACCTCACATGTTACTGGGACAGCTGGGAAAGTCCTTCGGGACCAAGAGTGAGACAGTGAGAAGCAGAAATACCTGTGCAGCTTGTCGAGTTCGGGCAGTCGGCAAACAGGGTCTGAGGTGGTTTCTCTTTTTCTCCTATGCAGAGAAAATGATTAAGTGAACGGACCGAGAAGAGTGTATGATGTAGGAGAGAGTAGGGCTTATCTGTATATTAAACCCCTAAATTTCAGCAATTTTATAAACTTAAATCTAAAATCTATTTTGTTTCATAGCTAATGGATTTGTTCCTCAGTGGATTCTCTGGATGTTGAAATCTTTATTCAGCTCGCTGCTGGTGTGTGCGCGTTTGTGGGTATCTGAGTCTGTTCCATCCACCCTGTGTACAGCTGCTCTTGACCCTGTTTGAAGGTAAACAGATCTGTCAGCTGAAACACACCCACATTATTGTGAGGATCCAGAGACAAGAAATGGTGGTATTAGAATTGAGGACTGTACCTATTGGGTAATGGGAAGTGGGCACCCGCTCCAGCCCTGAAGGGGTTGGAAAAGCCCTGCAGAGGGCTGGGGCTGGGGAAGGAAGTAAAACCCCAGCTGACTGGGGGAAGTGGTGGCAGCTGGGGGCCACGCCCCAATCAGGGCCCAGCTGGCTCTATAAAGGCTGTGAGCCAGAAGCCAAGAGAGACCACTCTCTCTAGCTCTGATGGAGGGACCTGGCTGCAGAGACCTGAATAGAGGACCTAGTTTGGAGCAGGACTGGGGAAAGGCCAAGGGAGCTGGGGAGCTCCAGCCTAGGAAAGCCCCAGGCTGCGGGCCTGGTAAGGTCTATTAGGTACGGGGGTTGCAGGGGCAGCCACGGGTGGGCAGAGGCAGCAGGTCCAAACCCAACCTTGCTGGTGATGAGTGGCTCATACTGCAGTCTGCCCCAGGGACGCAGGGACTAGCTGGTGACTAGCAGGAGCCTATGACTGAGGTGAGGTAGGGATAGTGGGTGGGGGGGGTTCCCCTGGGAGGGGGAGACCCAGAACTGTGGGGTACTGCCAGGGGGCAGCACCCAGTGAAAGGGGCACCAGGGTCCTGGGAGGGACACGGGAGCCAGCAGCAAGGCGAGACAGGGCTGAAGAGGGCGCTCTGGCGGCTGGAACGCTAAATCCCAAGGACAACCAGCAGCAGGCGCCGCTGGTGAGTCTGCGCCCGGTTACAAGGACTAAATGAGACTTTAGATCTGAAACAGACTCTCACCTACATGCACAGACCCACCTTTTGGGAATTCTGATCCTGACCCAGATTTCACAGCCTGGGTGTCAGGAAGCAGGGGCTGCAGCAGAGCTAGTCTCCAGGCTACTTAACGAGCGCCGCTGGACTGTATCAGGCTGCCTGACTGGTCATACTGCCTGATTGGTCAGCAGTCCAGCTCTTGAGTCCAGCAGCCACACCAGCATTCAGCAACTGCTCAGAGCATTTCCCACAGCTAAGATATCTCATTTTCCTGTCTTGTTCACTGTCTTACTTGTTACCTTGACTCCAGACTTACCCCTTGCCTTGCTCCAGGTAACCTGGTCCTGACCCTGAGCTCCGATTTCTGCCTTTGGCTCTGGCCTCTGGCTCTGACCCTTGGCTCCAATTTCTGGCTACCAGCTCCTGCTCTAACCACTGGATATGACTCCTGCTCCAACCACTCAGCATGACCACTCACGTCCTGTTCACTGACCTTGGGCCCATCTCTGATTGTTCATCCCAAAAGTACAGCCACAGAGATTCCCAAATGATGCTCGCTAATGGGAGGCATTTGCAGTGGTGCTGGAACAATTTTTACAGTTGGGGTGCTGAAAGTCATGGTCCCCAAACTTTTTACCTTGCCCCTTCTTACCCTGTCTGTGCACCCTCTCCCCCGAGTTGAGGCCAGGACTGGGCTGTGGATCGGGGTAAGGTGACTCAGGCTGGGACCACACCTTGCGGGGCTAACAGCGGGACCCCGTGTCTGGGACCAGCAGTGGAGCGTGGGGCCGGCAGCCAGGACCCCCTGCAAACTGATTAACCCCTTGCACCCCAAGTTCCCGTGCCTATGGGCATTTGTAGGCTCTCACTAGGTGATTGCACCGTGTAACACACAGCTTGTATGAATAACTCCCATTTTGTTTTCCAGGTGCTGTATTGAGAATTGACAATGAAAATATGTCTGTCACTACTGTGAATGTAAAACTGTCTCTACTGAAAAGTAAATACATTCAAAATTTCTATCACACCCTTTCAATGAGTAAAAGATGGAGTGGGTGTGTGCATGTGTGTGCACAGAGTTTCAGAATTACCACTGCAAGAAATATGGGTCTCTTCTGCTCGGTTATCACAGGACTGCTGTTTCCATATGCCTGATGGGCACTGCCAAAGGGACCTGTGCTGCTCACTGCATGCAACATGGTCCAGCCACGTGGGACCAGAACCTGCTCCATATGCAAAGTCTCTTGCAACCTGCCCTCCATCCCCACAGTTCAGCTGTTTGCAGACAATTGCTGGGGTGACTCCAGACATCTGATTGGAGCAAACACTGCCCCACGTCCCATTGTAGAAAACCTCCAGCCGCCCAGCACAATCACTGTCGCTCACCAGCCTCAAATCCATGAATTCTAGAAGGAAGTGCACAAAAAGGGAATTTAAATCGTCTGATTCTGAAATGAACTGGGGTGAAGAGTGAAATCCCAGCGATTGCTCAACCCAAAAGTATAGCCACATCATTCTGCAGGAGCAAGTGCAGAGAGAATCACTCTAAGAATGAGAGACTCTCCTGGACACCATGGGACTATTAGAAATACAATGGTCACCTCTGAAAAGTCACCAGTTCCCAGCAGTTACACACACAGACACCTGCAATACAGCAGTGACTGCCCTGCCAACACTAGAGAAATGCTGCGATATCTCCAATACTCCTGGGTGGGAACCGATGGGAAATGGTGACTTTCTAATCATGACCCCAGTTGGTAGGTAGAAGAGTAGAGTGACCATATTTTCTCAAAGGGAAAATGGAACACCCCACGGGGGGCCCAACCCCCAAACCTCCCTTCCTCTCCCCCCCACACAGGTGGGGCCAGCCTGAGACCTACCCTACCTCCCACCTACACAGGGACAGCCTGAGGTTCCCCTATCCCCTCAGCACGTGGGCCAGCCTGAGCCCCCCCTGCCACCCAGCCTCACTCTGCTAGGGGGCGCATCCCACTTTTTTGGCAAAACTGTGTATGTGTCCAATTTGCTCTTCCCAACTCGTGATCCGTTGGCAAGAGGAAACGAGAGAAATGCCCAGTTTTGCCAAAACAGTCGGGACGGCCAGGGCAGGCTTAAAAAAGAGAGTGTCCTGGCCAAAACGCACTGTATGGGCACCCTATAGAAAAGACAGTGAGGGAGAGGCTCTATCATCCTCAGCTCTCTCCTCAAATGTCTGCCCCCTCCAGTAAATCCCCTGGTAACCAGGCTCACGTGAGCATTCCCAGACCAGACCTGAGCAGAGAACTCCTGCGTCCTCCTTGTGTCTGCAGTTGTGCTGACCCCAGCCCCTGGAAGGACAGTCCGAAAGATCGGATTCGTTCCCAGAGCAGTTCACATCATCCAGCCAGATCTGCCCGGATCCTTCCCCGTAATGAGCACAGACAGTTGCATTGATGGCGCGTCCACATCCCAGTTGTTTGCAAACGACATCGGAGTCTGACAGATCCCAGAAATCATCACAGACTGTCCCCCAGCTGCCATTATAATAAATCTCCACTCTCCCAGCACAGCGACCTGCCCCATTCACCAGTCTGATCCGCCTGCTTCCTGCAGGGATAGATCCCAGCTGTTAATATGCAATATGATGATTATTAAATAGCTTCCATGCAAATCAATGATGATGCTACAATGGCTGAGATATTGAAATGCTTTTTAAAATCTGTCTTTAACAAGAAACACAGAAACGGAGAAAAGCTGAGTAAGGAAATGAGGAATACTTCTTACAGAGCACTATTGATAAACAGCATGTGAGTGTAAGGGCCTAATTCTGAATTCCTTACTCATCGGAGTAGTCCTTAAGGGACTCGTCACATGGGTCAGAGCTATTTGTGAGACTAAGGGTTAGCGGAAACAGCCCTTACTCAAAATCTTGAATATTCTCAAACAACTCTTAAATGATAAGCATCAAGGTGTTCAAGGAATTATTAGGCAATTAATTTACCCAAAACCAAATATTCTTTTCAATTGTTACAGAATGGGGAGGGGGTGACACTGGCTGACCAGGTCATGCTAGAGTGTAGTTAGATCCGTTCACTTGTGTAGATTAAAGTAATGGTTAGATGTATACGTGTGTATTCAGATGTTTAAACTTTATGAAAACCAGTGGAATGTTATGGGTATTGTTTTTGCGTGTCTATTGCTGTCATAATGTAATGCCAAACATTTACATGATAAATACACTTGTAGCTAAATAACACATCAAATAAATTTTGTGAAATGCTAAGGATTTAAGGACTTTAACAGAAAATGCTAATTTCAAAGGAAATAGCCATTATGAATAAGGTCTGAGGTCAAAAATCTAAGTGCATTTCTCACTCCCTGTCATCAAAGGAAAAGCCCACATGGGTAGATTGTCAGCTTGTTTTCTGTGAGCTTATGTTCTTATGTGAGAAGAAGATATAAATATGGATTCAAAGAAAGATCCTGTATCTCTGGACTGTTTGGATTCTAACAGAGAAGAATAACTGAATGAGAAGACAGAGATCCCCAGAGTTATTCTGGGTAGCCCTGTGTGATGGGGTGAGCTCCCCACACTAGCCCTGTAAGAGCTGGGTTGGGCCAGGTGGGCCCAATCAGCTAATTATGCTGCAAAGGGTGGAGGTTTAGGCCGGAATCAGCTGGTTAGAGAGAGTCTCACCTATTCAGGAACAGGTGGGACCTATAAAGCCAGGAAGGTGGCTCCGGGTTGGGGCTGTTGGGAACGACTGCAGTAAGGCAGACAGCAGTCATGCCCTGGGAAGAGGGAGGAGTGTTTGGGGGCTGCAGGGAGACAGTCTGTAGTTATTCCCTGGGAGGAGGATTCTTGGGGCTGGCACACCCAGAGTGAGGAGGGGAACCAGAGTATAGGAAGCAGTCATACAATCATAGAAGATTAGGGTTGGAGGCCATCTAGTCCAACACCCTGCTCAAAGCAGGACCAACCCCAACTAAATCAGTCCAGGGAAGGAGCAGTGTGGGCAGAGGGAGGAAGCCCAGAACTGCTGAGCTGTCCCTGGACTGGATCCCAGAAAAGAGGGCAGGCCTGGGTTCCCCTACTCAGCCACTGAGGGAGTGGCACCAGGGCAGTGAATGGGAAGATGGCCTAGGACTGTTGATGGACTGAATCCCGTCAGGGGGAACACTGAGTGACCTAGCTGGAGGGCTAAGTCACAAAGAGGATGCTGCAGGTCCTGGAGCAAGAGGCGCTGCAGACCAGAGTGAGAGTGATGGTGTGCAAACTGTGGATGGGCGTTGGCCTCGAGAGCTAATCCCCAGAGTGACCAGGAGGAGATGCCAGACTGGCAGTGAGTGGAGTACCTCATGACACCCTGTAAAAGACTTTGGGGAAACTGACAGTTTATTACATCACTGCCACCATTTGGAGTTACAAACTGATTTCCCTGTTGTTATATTTTACCTGCTATAGCCTCTCAATAACCCTCCTTCTTTCTTCTTAGCTAATAAACCTTTAGTTATTTACTATAGAACTGGCTGCCAGCGTTATCTTTGGAGGAAGTTCTGGGTGACTGACTGGTCCCTTGGGACTGGGAGAAACTTGGTGTGGTGTGATGTTAGGATTAAGTGACATTTTATCACAACTTTCAGTTTGTCTGGGTGGCAGGTTAGGCGGTCTGTGACTCCACAGTGAGACTTGTATAGTGATCCAGGAGTTCACGTTTGTGACTGGCTTGGTGAATCATAGAATATCAGGGTTGGAAGGTGAGCTCAGGAGGTCATCTAGTCCAACCCCCTGCTCAAAGCAGGACCGATCCCCAATTAAATCATCCCAGCCAGGGCTTTGTCAAGCCTGACCTTAAAAACTTTGAAGGAAGGAGATTCCACCACCTCCCTAGGTAACCCATTCCAGTGTTTCACCACCCTCCTAGTGAAAAAGTTTTTCCTAATATCCAACCTAAATCTCCCCCACTGCAACTTGAGACCCTTACTCCTTGTTCTGTCATCTGCTACCACTGAGAACAGTCTAGAGCCATCCTCTTTGGAACCCCCTTTCAGGTAGTTGAAATCCCCCCTCATTCTTCTCTTCCGTAGACTAAACATCCACAGTTCCCTCAGCCTCTCCTCATAACTCATGTCTTCCAGTCCCCTAATCATTTTTGTTGCCCTCCACTAGACTCCTTCCAATTTTTCCACATCCTTCTTGTAGTGTGGAGCCCAAAATTGGACACAGTACTCCAGATAAGGCCTCACCAGTGTCGAATAGAGGGGAACGATCACGTCCCTCGATCTGCTGGCAATGCCCCTACTTATACATCCCAAAATGCCATTGGCCTTCTTGGCAACAAGGGCACACTGTTGACTCATATCCAGCTTCTCGTCCACTGTAACCCCTAGGTCCTTTTCTGCAGAATTGCTGCCAAGCCATTCGGTCCCTAGTCTGTAGCGGTGCATTGGATTCTTCCGTCCTAAGTGCAGGACTCTGCAGGTGAAATCTAATGATAGAACACACCACCAGTTTGGGGTATCTGCCCTTGTTTTTTGAGTCTGCCCTGAGTTAGTCACTTACAGTGGTGAGCCACTCCAGATAGCATGACAGCAGGTACCAGAACATTAGAGAAAAGGAGACTTGGTACCACTTTATTTTACAAATAAAGGGAAAGACAGGCAAATTGTCTCTGTGTGTGTACAATAAAGTCCCAGACACTTAGGGCCTAATTCTACCCTGCTGAAATCAACTGTGAATCTCCCACTGACACAGTGGGAATGGAAATAGGCCCTTAATGTGCTGTAGTTACCCTGCAGTTGGAATGGGCATGAAAAATATCAGTGCAGTAACATACAGTGCATGATATAGGGACATAGTTAAAATATCTGTTACTTGTTTACTTTTACTGTTGGACCTGAATGTAAATATATACCAGCAAAAAGAACAATAGAATTATTTTGTACAATAGTCATGTACAACCAAGAACAATGAAGAAATCCCATCACAGATTTTTTTTTTTTTTTTTTTTTTTAACCTTTAAATGAAGGAAAATTGCACAGTTATAGGATTAGGACTTCACAAGGTCACATTATAAAAGCAACTTTGATGTATTTCCTAAGTGACAGAGGGTTAGATCCACAAAGGTACGTAGCTACCTAACTGCCTCTTTATAAATACATAATATATAAATCACTACATATTTATTGAAGCAGGGACTTGACTCTCCCATATCCCAGGTGAGTGCCCTGGCCACCAGCTAGAATCAATCTCTAGCTTTTTTTCGGATTCAGTGACTGATTATTTGTACAAAGTGGAACATTTCCAGCAGGAGAGACCCACCCCAGCACAGTCTAGAGTGACTAGGGCACTCACCTGCGTTCACGTCCCTGCTCCAAATCAGGCAGAGCAGGGATTGAATGTGGATTTCCCACCTCCCAGTTGAGTGCTTTAACCACTGGGTCACGTGTAAAATGGGGAGATGAGAGAGCTGACCTGGCTTATGTGCCTAGCTCCAGGAGTGGGTTCATGACTGAGGTCCCCGAGCAGAGATAGGTGCCTACCTCTACCTGTGTGTCAGGGGGCTGAGGCTTCGATCAATGGCAGGTTGGCAACGAAATAACTTTGTGTATCTAGGCCCTACTCCCTTCCTTGGCATTTCACTGCTGGCAAATGTAGGTGGTTCCCTGTTCAGCTTTCTGGCTTCTGGTGCCTAACTCTCCCCATGCATTGTACGTGGAGCTGGGCGCGTGACTCATGGCTGAGGATCCCATTTGATGGCAAGGCACCTAGGAGTCAGGCCTTGCAACGCCCAAGGCCCTTGGGGGATCTAGCCCAGAGCTACTATCCATGGCAGCCTTGGTCAAAACAGGTTGCATGTGACTTCCTTTTCTTACTGTTGTTTTCTGATTCAAGACAGCATGTTTTTTATAGACTTTAACATAAAGAAGCCACTAGATACACAAGAGCTGCTTGGTTTCAGAGTAGCAGCCGTGGTAGTCTGTATTCACAAAAAGAAAAGGAATACTTGTGGCACCTTAGAGACTAACCAATTTATTTGAGCGTAAGCTTTCATGAGCATCTGATGAAGTGAGCTGTAGCTCACGAAAGCTTATGCTCATATAAATTGGTTAGTCTCTATGCTACAAGAGTTGCTTGGAAATTAATCCTTTTCTGATTCAAGACAGCATGTTTTTTTAAGACTTTAACATAAAGAAGCTACCAGATACACTAGAGCTGCTTGGAAATTCATCCTTTTCCCCACAAAATATGAATGACCGTGAATATTTTTCATGTTCCACAAATAAATTTGGGATTTTCATAGATCTGTCAAGTGATTAAAAAAAATTAATCGTGATTAATTGTGCTGTTAATAATAGAATACCATTTATTTAAATATTTTGGATGTTTTCTACAGTTTCAAATATATTGATTTCAATTACAAAACACAATAGAAAGTGTACAGTGCTCACTTTATATTTTTTTATTCCAAATATTTGAAGTGTAAAAAATGAAAGAAATAGTATTTTTCAATTCAGCTAATACAAGTACTGTAGTGCAATCTCTTTACCATGGAAGCTGAACTTACAAATGTAGATTTATGTACAAAAAATAACTGCATTCAGAAATAAAACAATACATTTCAATTGGTATTCTGTTGTTTAACAGTGCAATTAAAACTGCGATTAATCATGATTTTTTTTAATCTCGATTAATTTTTTTTAGTTAAACGCGTGAGTTAACTGTGGTTAATTGACAGCCCAAGTTTTTCAACAGAAATCTGAACATTTTCAATGAAAACAAACTATTTGAGAAAATTTGTAATCTTATTGTGAAGATTTTTCACAGGAAAAAAGTTTTGATGAATTTTTTTTGAACAGCTCTAATCCATAAAAATATGAGAGAGAGAAAGAGAGAGAGGTTGCTATAGTGCACTAACCCTATACCATGGCTATGCTTTGTTCTGTATATAATATATTTTTACTATAAATGGGTCCCAGTTTGAACATCAGATCCACATCGTTTCAAGGACTGCCGAGATCACAGCACAAGGTGGGGTGGAGGCAGGCCCTGGGGTGGGTCATGTTCCCATTGAACAAGGACAGGATATTTATAAGATTTTCACACTAAGTCACCTGAGCAAACGACACCAACGTCCTCAGCAATTCCTGCCTGGGTTGTCTCAGGCGGGGAGATGTCACAGAGAGTCAGACGAGTCTCATTTCCTCCACATCGGACACTTTTCAGCTCCACGGGGCCCGTTCCTCGCTCAGACTTAGGGGGGTTATAAGCTTTCTCAGCGTCTCCGCACTGGAGCTGCCTGCACACCACGCTGGCATCGTCCATGTCCCACTGGTCATCCAGGACTCTGCTCCACACTCCATGGAGGGAAATCTCAACTCTCCCATCACACCGGCTCTCTCCATTCAACAGTCTGAGCGCCTCAGAATGACCTGGGCTCACAGAGACACAAAATATGCTGAATAACACTCCCTGCTGATACTGCATTAGAAATAATACACAGGTGTGATGTGAAACACAGGTTTCTGTGCCGTGTGGGAGGTAACCCTCACCTCTGTGCAGTGATACAGGGAACAACCTCTCTCAAGGGTTTCATTTGTCTGTCTACTCAGAAATGCAGGAGGTGATGGAAGGAAAGAATTCCCCAGCTCTGAGATCGGATCTTGCACGATGTGGAGCGCTCTCACCTCCCTAAGGAGTCAATGTGAGTGGAGAGTGCTCAGGAACACCTGGCAGATCAGGCCCCTGGTTTCCAAAATGGTCTGTGCAAAAGTGCTCAGTGCTCACCCCGCACATTGATAGCGTCAGCGCTGTGAGGTAGCTGTGATTTACAACAGGAGTCTAGGGATTGGCCTGCAATGAGCGCACCAAGCGCCCCACTTCCCTGTTGCAATTCCCAGACCCAGACTGTCAGGACACATGGCTCCTTTAAAGAAAACTCTGCCCTGTTTGTCCCCGTTCAGTGTACATTGGTGGCCTGCGATCACGGCGTCAGCTCCAAACCCAAAAGGAGCTAACACAATAAAGGCTTTTCTGCACTCAGCAAGGATTTTCCAGGCCAGGTCTGCAACTGTGGACGCTTGAGTTACCTTTCTCACGAAGTCTAGCTATTGGCTTGGCTGGAGATGATGCTGGAGAAGAGAGTGACCTCTGGGCAATGGGGAAGAAGATCCCATTTTTTTCTAAACATATATATTTTTCATTTTAAAACTTTGTTCACTGTGAGCACATAAAGATGTTGAAGTTCCTTGTGGGAGAAGCGAAGACCCTTTCTGGTGATTAGGTCATTGGAGATTTATACAGTGTATGCGGCACCTTACATTTCAAAGGAGCCAAAGTGCTCCCAAAATGTGATCTGTAAACCTGTCAAATCTTCCTAAATATATAAACAGTTATAAGAATATACATACAGAGGACAGTAGTGACTCCATATTTAAAGATGAGATTAGTATTACACTTAAGACAGGTATTTAACTACTCTGTTTTTTATTAAAGTTGTGTATGGTCTGAATTCTCACATTAAGA